GGTTAACTTTTTCAAAATTTTTTTTTTTGCAAAAACATTTTATTTATCTTAGTAAAGCATTTCTGCATATTTTTAAAACTTTTTTTTAAATCTTTCATAAAAAGTGTCTTTTTTGTGCTCTACCACCTTAAAAAAAGGTTAATAGAAGAGTCTAAACAAGTTGTACGAGACCATATTAACCTTTTCCCAAGAATTGATGCTCATTATAGCAGGAAAAAGACACATAAAGAATATATGGAAGGATCACTAAATATATGTAGAATGTATGATCTTTATAAAATATATTGTGATGAAAATGTCTCTCCTCCAGCAAAAGAACATATGTATCGTTTTATCTTTAATCACGAGTTCAATATAGAATTTCAAAAACCGAAGAAAGATTTATGTGACACATGCTATGAGTATCGCAACATTGTTAATGCAAGCAATGAACAAACAGATAGTTATAATAAGCACATAAAATCAAGGAATGATACCAAAACTGAACGTGAAAATGATCGCCAAAATGTTGATTCTAAAACTGCAATTGTTTGTATTGACCTTGAAAATGTTTTAAATATGCCTAGAGCTAATGTGGGAAACTTTTATTACAAACGAAAACTATCAAATTATAACTTAACTGGTCATTGCTCGCTTAACAGGAAGGGTTATTGCATTCTTTGGCACGAAGCCATGACTGGTCGTGGAGGAAATGATCTAGCCAGTGCTGTAACATGTTTGCTTTTGAAAATCATGGCTGACCTTGACATAAATAATTTTATACTTTGGTTCGATTCATGTGTACCACAAAACCGCAATAGTTTCATGTCAGCAGCTTTGTGTGAATTTATAATACGATACCCACAAATAAAAGTAATTGAACAGAAGTTCTGCGAGCCAGGTCATTCCAGCATTCAAGAATGTGACAACATTCATAGTCAGATTAAAAAATCCCTCTCTGCTGCAGAAATATTTAGTCCACTTGGGCTAGAAAGAGCTATTAAAAATGTAAACCGTAAAAAACTTTTCTGTGTTTACCAAATGCAATTAGGAGATGTAAAGAATTTTTCAGTTGTCGCTGGTTTGTCAAGTTATAAGTTAGTGCCTTATTCAAAGGTTAAAAATCTTGTTTATCGAAACGGACTGCCATACCATGTTTTTTTTAAAACCTCGTTTTCAGATAATTATTCACAAGCTCGTATAAATAAGTCTGTCAAGAAAGCAGCATCAACCATTGTTGCAAAACCATTAAATACCAATATACCAATGGCAGCTTGCTTTCGTGCTTCTTATCAGTCTATATCTGTTGCAAAAGCCAATGATATCATTTCCATGTATTCATACATGCCTGCTATTGATATTGCATTTTATAAAACAATAATAAATTGAACATTTACAAAACATTAATAAAGTCAAAATATTTTTAGGGTTGTTATATGTTTAGTATAAATATAAATAACATATTTATATATATATATAATAATATAAATAATATACATATAAATAACATATTTAAATAAAATATTAATTTTGTATAAATATAAATATAAAACACATTGAAATAATATTATTTTAAAATCTTGATAAAAATTTTTGTTTAGCTTGTGTTTTTTTTGTTTGTTTTTTTGTACTTTTATATTCATTTTCCCCCACTTGTTTGGTTTGGATGGTTTTCCATAGTGACATAAAGGCCACTATGAAAGAGTTAAAGCAATGTTTCACAACCTGATGCCCTTCCTGACGTTAACTTGAGTAACAATTTTTTATTTGTAAATATTTGCAATAACTTTTGATAAAAAGTTAAACTCAATTAATGGATACACAGGCATAAGAAAAATAAAATCAAGTTCATCTTGCATGGAGTTTGTGATTAGATTAGTTGAATTGTTGTGAATTATCAGATAGTTACGTAATGTTATTTATTTTTTACGTTTATATTATATTAATACGTTTATATTATTATTACGCAGCCAAATTTTCCGTTTTAAATTAGACGTCTTAGTCTTGTCCAGGGCCGGCGCCTACAGGTAATTAAGGTAAATGTAAGTCGTAAGAACAGTGTCGTTAGAGGCTCTTCTAAAAGTTCTCCTAATTAGGGCCTCATTTTATTTAAAAAAACTTAATTTTTTAGGTAATACAAAAAGCGTCTTATATTTTGAAAAGGGTCCCGTTAAATTAGGGGCCCATGCCCCTAATTTAGGGGCCCATGCCCATAAATTAAGAGTGTATGGTACTGCGTAAGAATAATTAGCAGGTAGAACAAAATTTCATCAATTTCTAACATGTCGTTGTTTAAAAATGTACTTAAAATGTTTAATATATATGATGTAACAACATAATATTTTTGAATTTTACTAAAAACCAAAGTTATTTTGTTCTATCTCCAAAAGAGGGTGCGAAAAAAAGGGCGTTAGCGTAATTTTAAAAAGTTTTTTTTATCTAAAAATTAATAATAAAACATTTTTAAATTTTAGGAAATACCTAAATTCTCAAAATATTTTTTCAATTTAGCTGCGAACAAATTCAAACTTTGACATCGATTTTCTCAGTTTGCAAAAACATGGAGATAGCACAAGATAATTCTAACGTCGCGAGTTGTTAAACTAATATCAGGACATGGGAAAGCAAATGGATACCGAGAATAGTCATCAATGACTGTACACAGATATTTGTTTCTAGAATTAGATGGCAATGGTCCTTTAAAATCTATACTTAGGCGATCCATTGAACGTATTGACTTAATTAACTCACAGACATTTGAGGATCGATAAAACTTTGGTTTTAATTCTGAACAAATCTGGCAGTTAGAACAAACTCTCTTGATCTCTTCTGTAGAAAAAAGTAAATTTTTAGATTTACCAAAGTGAAGCATACGAGTAACCCCTGGGTGACATAGACAGCTATGTATACCACTTAGGTTTGTTTGAGATTGGGTTGTAGCACAAAAAGTGCGTGTGAGTGTATCAGGGACGATATTATCGCTTCCAAAACAATACGATATAATATAACTAAACTCTGCTAACTCCATCCTCCAAAACATGGCTCAATTATACCATCCGATAATAACTGTAATATTTAACTTTCAATAAAGTTTCGATCATCATTATTATACCTTCTTGATTTTGTAGCTATTGGCTGAGTTTTGTCTGAAATGCTTGTAAACAAGGATGGTATTTTTATTTTTGCCATTTGCAGTGCACATAGGTTACTTTCCTTTGTGACAATTAAGCCTTCTTTTTCTCCACCGAGTGGGAATATTAAATTTTTGTATAGTTTTTGGAAGTCGTAACCAAGTATGATATCACTACAAAGATTTTCTAAGACACCAAATTGAACATTGTTACAAAATATACCATTTACTTCAAGATTAACCGAACAACAGCCCACTAATCCAGACTCCATTGTTGACTATTAATCCTCAAACAAAATGCTTTTATTGATTATACAATAAAAGCAATTTGTGTGAGGATTAATAGTCATAGCATTGAGTGCTTCTGAGGATTCTTCTGGTAATTTTATAGCGGCAGCAATATTTAAATTGGAGGAAAAGGAGAATGTTTTCTGCATATAAGAATCTGAGTTTCTTTGTGCAATGTCAAGAGAACGAGCTTGGTTAAATGCTGATTGCAAATTCAATGTTGAATTTTCAAGAAGTCGTTGACGAATGTAATTCGAATTTATTCCAGAAATAAAAGCATCTCTTATTTGTTCCTCTCGATATTGTTCAGCTAAAACATTCTTGTAATTACAGTTTTTACTGATTTTACGTAGTTCCTGAAGAAAGTCTTCTAAGGATTCACTCGGTGTTCGATGTCTTATAAGTAATTGATGCCTTGCAAAAATTTCATTAGGGGTTTTTATATATTAGTTTTGTAGGGTTTAAATTACACTTTCATAGGAATCACACTCTTCAATGTAATCATAAACATTTGATGAAACAAAATTAATGATGGAGCGAAATTTGTCTGGAGCATCCTCTCCACAATCCTCAATGAAATTTTCAAATGTTCGTTTCCAATGCTTCCATTCTTTTGAAGCATTTGGTGCATTATAATCAAGATCAAGTCTCGTCGGTTTTAAGATCTTTGACATTTCCCAATAATTTTATATGATTGTTAAATAAATTGTAATGAACTAATAAAAAGATTGACCTCCTGATTAAGGCTTTATTTAACAATAATTGTACTAATCTAAAGATACAAGAAAATAGACACATATAAAACAAATAGATTAATAACAAAAAATAGAAAACACAACAGGTTGTTTTTAGGTGACTTGGTTGTAATTACTAAATCTTTCAGGTGCAGCTTGACCTGCAAAAATATAGATATTTAGAAGTACCATACGTTGTTTATGCAAGTATCAAATTGAAATGATGTTAGTAGTTTAAGCGTACGCTAACCTTATATGCATTGTATTGCAAGGCAATTTTATTGAAATAAAAATATTTGGTTATATAAAACTTATTGCTAAAAAGACTGTGTTTTCATAGTTTAAAATATCCCACATTTCATTTTATATCATACATGCAACCTTTTTATGCAAGCAAACATGACCCCGCATCATCTTTTTTTCCTGACTTGTTTTTCTTTAAAATCTGAAAGTTGAAGTTTTGCATTTGCCTTTCAAAAGTCTCTGAGCTAAAATCTCGTATTTATTTAAGTGTTGGTTATTTATAAAAATAGCGATAAATGTTAAAATTAAACAAGATGAACCAAAAGTGCATTTTTTTTTTCTTTCGTAAGCAGGGTTATGGAATCGGATTCGGAGTTGCGACAATTTTAGCGGTGTTGGAGTCGCTAAAAAATATTGCGACTACGACAGCAATATTTCTTGGTATTGCACGTGCATGTACAAAACATTTAATTAACCTTATGTTTATACTAAACCTCAAAGAATGTTGCATTAATTTGTAAAAAAAAAAAATTAAGTTATCGCGCAATATTTTTCAAAGAATTATTCAAAAATTTTGCTTTGGAGTAGGAGTGGGAGTTGTACTCAAAAAATTTAAACAACTGGAGTCGGAGTTGTTACTTTTTTTTTACGATCCCACACCCCTGTTCGTAAGTAATACACTGTGTAATAAAATTAGTTTAAGAACAATTTTAAATTAAACGAAGTTACAATATACATTAGATTAATTAATTTTTTTCAAGATGATTTATACTATATGTACATCCATATCTTAATAAATAAAATAAAAAAGTATATGTAAATGTAACGTTAAAAAAATAGTAATATGAACATATCTATATATAATGTCGTTAATATATACATATTTATATCTGTCAGTGACGGACTCAGGAATTAATGGCGTGGGAAGAATAGGATATTGCAATATTTTTGTACTTTGTATCACATTTGCGTCTCTTAAAAAAAATAAAAGAGATATTTTAGGATTTTCAGTTTTGGTGCGGGAATACACACACCATTCCTTCCAGGATCCGTCAGTGATATCAATAATCTTAAATACATATCACTATGATTGTCATCATCCTCAGCATCCTCATAATCAAAACGGTAAAGCTGGCGTTGCATTTTCATTATCATATGTTTATTTTCACATTCCTCAACAAAACTTATGCTATTGGATATAGCATTGTAATATTTAACTTTGCGCTCTACTAATTTATATTTATCTTTAATAACTTTTTTTAAAACTCTTCGATGAAATCTTTTTTTCATAAAGCATAGCTGATTGAATTTGGACCATATATTAAATTGTGGATCCTTGGATTAGTTTTAAATTTTAGAAGTACTTTCACAACTCCCATATTTTTTTCCAAAACAGCAAATGTCGACAACATAGCTAAATAAATTTTAGAAACTCTAGATCTAACTGATGCAGAATCTTGTGAGGCTAAAGTATTTATAAACTTGACCAGTTCGTCATTATCTATACCTTTAACATCCTCATACTTATTCTTAAAAATTTCTATACTTAACATTCTCCTTATATCTTTAAGGTGATCTGTTGGTTGTTTCTATATATATATATATATGTGTATATATATATATATATATATATATATATATATATATATATATATATATATATATATATATATATATATATATATATACAAACATGCATACATATATAGAGACACATATGATATATGTGTATGATTTCATTAACATTAAGTCTCATCATTGCAACCGTCGCCGTCGTTTTAATTGTCATCATCATCATCATCATCATCATCATCATCATCATCATCATCATCATCATCATCATCATCATCATCATCATCATCATCATCATCACCATCATCATTATTATCATAATCGAAAAGGTAAAGTTGGCGTAGCATGTCCATTATCTTATGTTCATTTTTATATTCCTCAACAAATCTTATACTATTGGACACAGCACCATAACATTTAACTTTGCGCTCTACTAATTTATATTTATCTTTAATAACTTCTTTTAAAAACTCTTCGATGAAATCTTCCTTTAATAAAGCATAGCTGATCGAAGATGGACCGTATTTTAAATCGCGAATCCTTGGATCAGCTTTAAGTCTAAGTAGTACTTTCACCATTTCTATATTTTTTTCAAAAACAGCAAATGTCAGCAACATTGATGCTACATAAATTTGAGAAATTCTAGATCTACCTGATGCAGAATTTTGTAAGGCTAAAGTATTTATAAACTTGACTTGCTCATCAATATTTTTACCTTTAAAATAGTCATACTGATTCTTGAAAATTTCTATACTTAACATTCTCTTTATATCTTCAAGGTGGTCTTTCCTCATTAGTGGTACGTTATTAAGATCGGCATGATCAATAATTATTTTCTGTATTTTATCTAAATTGGCTTCTGCTTCAGCAAGCCATAGTTCAATACCTTTATCGTCTGTTCCTGTCAGATTAGCTAATTTTTTATATAAAATAGTTAGTTTATTTTTATCATTTGGGAAAAACATCAAAACTAATTTACATTCTTCAATTTCGTCTTCTATTGTCATTTTGTTTTTAATATCCTGCGTTTTTACAGTTTTTTTTATTTTTTTTAGTTGTTTGTTAATTACATTTTCTAATTCGTCGATAGATGCAGCTACATTTTTCAAATCATGGAGATCATAATTTATTAATTTCATTACTTTTGAAGTAGCATCCTTTATTGAAATATTTAGATCACAGTCTGTTGGAGATTCCTTCAACGCAAATTCTAAAATTTTATTAATATTTATCTGTGATTTTAAAGAGTAGTTTTCAGCAATTAATGACGCTAAAGTGTTCAAAATAATTTGTTCACTATCTGTAAAAAGATTTGTGGGTTTCACCGTTGATGGGGATATTGCAACTAAAAAGAATAGAAAACAATAAATTTTTAAAAAAGAAATATTAAATAAACTAATTTAAATCATAGATTATCTTATTTTATTAAAATTCTCATTCTTATCTGGAAACTATTAAGCGTATAAGAAACGCCAGAATAAAAGAAAGGGCGGGATAGACAAAGGAAAACGAGCTAAACGAATAGCAATTTTTAATCTGTCTGAAAAAGTTGAATATGATACAAAGTATATACTCGATACAGCAAGATTCACAGCTAAACAAATAGCTAATAAGAACTTAGAAAAAATTATCATGAAAAATTTATCATGATATTCATGTTCATTCTTCCAAATCAATAATTGCCATATGATATTAATAAAAACATTGAGAAAGAAATAAAAAAAATGTCTCCAGAAGAGAGACTTTTGAATTAAATTATCGGGAAAACCTCTTTTGTATTTTAAAAAAAAATCAATTTTTTCGATTTTTTTTTAATCTAATAATTTTATTTTATGTATATTAAGAGATATATTGAAAAATAAATTTAAAAAGAAACTTTCAAAAACTTTCAAAATAAAAATAGTTGTTCTTGGGCGGGTCCGGGCGACATCAAAACCTATATTGGATTAAAAGAAGAAGGGTCTAAGTTTATCCCTACATATTCAGAATATTACAGAAACATACGGAATTTAAAAAAAAGTCAAATTCAAGTATGCTATTATTTCCTAGTCTAAAAAGTTATTATTCTCTGCATTTTTACGGCATGAAATGTAATTTTATAAATAATTTTTCATTTAAGGCTGAAAACCTGTTTAATATTCTTCCGATTTATATATAATATATGGATGTTCACAGGTGTGGTTTAGAAAATAAAATAAAAGTTCGAAAATATTTCTTTTTGATTAAATAATTGCTCTTTAAAAAATGGCAACTTTGAGCATCTGCGGGAAAGCGTTAAATGGTCTAAAAAGAAAAATTCTTTTAGAACGTAAAAATATGACTAATTTGCAACAATCTTGCATATTTAGAACTTTTAATATTGGATTTTTTGCAAATCTGGAATAAATGACCTTTTTTGACCTCTGTGCAATTTCGCGCTAAGTATAAAGCCGATATTGCCCCGTATAAGTTAGGCAACGTCGCACAGTGAGTCAAAATCTATAAAAAACGGCAAAAAGCACCCCATAAAAAACTATTGCTAGAAAATAATTAATAAAACTATAATGTAACTAAATTCCACTAAAAGACACTAAATAATTTTTTTTTGAATAATTTTTATGATTTTACCAATTTATACGCCTTTTTCCGAAACTTATTTTATTTTATATATAAAACTCGTTCAAAAAAGTTAGTATCACTCTTTGTTAAAAATGTTGTTTATAGTTACCAAACATCTTAAACATATGACTTCAAATTATCTTTTAAACTCTTTTTACCCATATCAATCTTAGATTGTTATGGAGATTGTTATTAAAGAGTTTTAGATTAGTTTTCAATCTTAGATTGATATGGGTGAAATAAGTTTAAAAGATAATTTGAAGTCATATGTTTAAGATGTTTGGTAACTATTAACAACATTTTGAACAATAAATTTTAATTTTAGATTTTCATTACTGAGATCTCAAAAATGTGTCATAAATTGATTTTTTTAAATTAGTTTAATTATGAACTTAGTTCCAAAACTAAAAGATTCCACTAGATTCCATGGTAGTATTAATATTTCTCCATTATTAGGTATATATGAAAACAGAAAAAATAAAAATCATTTGCCCCAACTTGCCCCAATTAAAATAAGACCTTTCAAATACTTTGTTTTCTTTTGTACTTTTTTTTCCCGTTTTTAATTACAACTTGCGCATAAATAGCGAACAATAGTTCATTGCTTGCATTGATCACACAAATAATACATTTAGTTCCTGTTAGTAAAAAAACTCAAGCTCAAGCAGATTATTAAACCTCAAAATCAAAATATGCAGTATTTGATGTTATAATTTAAAATTAAAACTTGCGTATAAAGTAACCAACAACTCATTGCTTAAATTAAACATGCAAGTTCGTTGCTTACATTAAACGCGAAAGGAATACAATAATTCTCTATAATTCAAGAGTTAGGAATTAATCATGATAATTTACTCGAAGCTCTTCTACGTGAGTTTTGTAGACTGGAGGGTCTATACTATAAAAGTATTGATAAAACTGAAATCTTAAATCAAAAGAAAACTCTAATAATATTTAAATGTAATAATATTATAATGTAAATTCTCGAATAATATTTAAATGTAAATTCCGATCAAAATTGAAGAAATACTCAAAAACCGAATCTAGACTTTTAGAACAAACTTGGTTGAACAAAGATGTAACTGTTGACATAAAACACTTTGCAGCAGGACCAGGTAGAAAGAGCAAGAACTGGGAAGATTTAGGTGATAGAAGCAAAAGATTTAAGGTAATAATAAAAAAATTAAATTTAACCAAGTTTAACCCTAACCCTAACCCTGACCCTAACCCTAACCCTAACCCTGACCAAGTTTAAAATAATAGTTTACAAGCTTAAATATTAAATATTATTTTGTTTAAGGTTGCCGAATGGGCTGAACATCCTGCTAAAGCATTGGCAGTAGCTTCAATTAAAAAAGCCACTAGAGGTCCTACTAAAAAAGATTTCGTTGTTTTCATGAAAAGTGCTACAAACTCTGAAAAAGTTAAAATCACGGAGATAAATTTTCCGATAGAAATGAAAACCGAAGATGCCATGAGCTTAAAGGTTCAGTGTGGATGAACAGAATCAAATTATTGGAAATTCATCGATAATACATAATGCAGGTATTTATCCTTTACTTCACGAAATTAAGAATGAGAGACGCAAATGTTATCCTGAAAGTTTAATTGTGACAGAAACATCTGCTTCAACTCTTCCACAGTGTATGTTTAATCATATTTTGACAAGGATATTAACTTTTAAGGAATGCCAAGACTCAGTGAGAATGTTTGCAGAAATTGGGGGGAAGTTTAAAGATCTACTTCACTTTAAAGGTTTGATGGTGCCTCCAGTCAAAATGTCTATAAACAAAAATATACTGATACAAATATTGGTGAGATCCAAGTTTCCAGACAGCTATATAGCTTACTAAGTACCTCCAGTCAAAGTGTGAAAAATTTAAGTGGAGCAATATTGATCCACTTAAATTAACAATCATGATCAAAAATGTATAGATAAATAAGAAACCCTCCAGTACACATTACTGAAGACCCCTATATCTCCAATACCAAAAAGAAACGGAAGAATTTATACGAAGTGAGTATGAACTTTTAAAAGCAGAAATAAACAGTCTAGTTAAGTTTGAAGTAAAGTTAGAAGTAGAGGAAGGCAAACCAGATACGACTATCAAATTTAGATTCAAACTAGATTTAACCATGTTTGATGGTAAAGTGATTAATGCCCTCACTAACACTCTTTCTGCCTAATCATGTAATGTTTGCAGAGCTAACCCAGTGAACTTAATAACCCAAAATCGATAAGATCTAAGCCAATCAATAAAAAAGCTTTATCTTTAGGCCATTCTACTCTGCATTGCTGGCTTAAATCTTTTGAATATATTTTACATTTAGGATACAAGTTAAACATCAAAATATACTTTGCCGAATCCCCTGCTGAAAAAGCATCAGTAAAAAGTAGAAAAAAAGAACATTTAACTGAGGTTTAGAGAGTAGCTAAGTCTTATAGTTGATATGTCTAAACAGGGTTTTGACAACACTAACGAAGGAAACACTGCCAAAATGCTGAAACTTTCGCTGTTCTAACGGGAGTGGCAGTAGATGCAATTATTAGATTAAGGACAATCCTAATATCAGTATGCTCCTGTTATGAGTTCAAACACCCCCATGTAGACAGTCAACTTCAACCAACTCCACAGATCAAATTGATAAATCTTTACCAGCTAGTTCTAGCACAAACACAATATCTTCAATTCGTAAGTTTTGCATTTAAAATAATATTTTAAAACTAATATGTTGCATATCGCAAGTTGGCATATGTGTTCAGTTATATTTTCAAAAAAGTGTTCTTTTTATAATAGACCGCTTTTGAAAGTTACAAAATACATATTTTTTTTATGATTCTTGGTGCTCTAATAAGTTAGAGTTTTTTTTTTAATTTTTTATTTTGCAGTTAACGTTTATAAATTTAAAGTCTCTCAACTTTTTTAAAGCCCTAACACTAGAAATTATGGAAAAATAACGATTTTGCGACTTCCAAAATTCATAGAGTCATTTAGGGGTCTCTATATACCTTAAAATTTTCTATAAATATAATTTATTGCTTTTGGATAGTTCCTGATTTAGTAAAACAAGCCGTGGCTGATGTTTTTCGACCATATTTTCATAATGTTATTAAACAGTTGGAGGAAATTAAGTCAGAGTAACGTGTGCAGCGCCAAAAGCAAGTTTCTATTAATCATAATACAAGTGGAAATATTCCAGTAAACTTTTTTTTTTTCCATTAAAAGAAATAGATGAACTCTTACATTTAAATAGGATTTTTCTGAAAAATACTGAATGTCGATCGAATGCAATAAGTCTAATATTATTATTATATAAAATATAGAATATAAAAGTTTACTTTTATTTTTAAAATTAAATTAGTATATATTTTTTTATTTCGACTTGACTTCATATATAATAACGTTTATACATTAGTATAAACTCATTTTCATATGCAATAGCTAATGAAAAATGTTTATATCTTTATATGTTATTTTTTTGTCTCTAATTGGAGGAAATGGTCTTGATGACTGTTTGAGAAAAGTTGCTAAGAAAATCTTGACAGCAAAACTCTCAATGCTTTATAACTTTACATGAAGAAAAGGAAAATTAGAGTTTGGTTGTCTAGTTGGGGTGAAAAATGGGATATATGGCAGGCAAATTAATCTCATTATTATTTATTCTAAAACTTTTATTCTCATCACCATCGTCATTATAATCATCATAAATATTCTATAATAAACTTTTGTATTATAATTGTTTTAA